TTGTGGTACGCGGGCCTCTCACTGTTGCAGCCTCTCCCGCTGCGGAGCACAGGCTCCGGACGCGAAGGCCTAGTGGCCATGGCTCATGGGCCCAGCCGCTCCACGGCATGTGGGATCTTCCCGGACCGGGGCACGAACCCGTGTCCCCTGCATCAGCAGGCGGACTCTCAACCACTGCGCCACCAGGGAAGCCCTCTGCTTTCTTTTGATGCTTGTTTGTTTTGTGGAAGTTTCAGCTCCTAATGTTTCTACTGAGGTAGCATTTACATGAGTGAGACAGCTTAGGTGTCCCCTGGATGAGGTTTGATGGGTGCAGACCCCTCAGCCAGCACCCCCAGGCTCTTTTGTGCCTTCTGACTCCCCTCCCGTAGATCCGCGGGCCTGATCTAAACGTTCTTACAAGTGGGGTCGTGGAATGTGTACGTTTTTGTGTCTGGAGTCTCTTTCGTGGCATGTTTTTAAGGAATATCTGTACTATTTTAATTTCTAGTCTCGCATTGTGATCAGACAGTATGGGGGGAACTCTTTTTAGTTTTTGAAACTTACAGGTTTTCTCTGACCCCTTATAAGATAAGTCTTCATGAGTCTTTCAGAGGAACTTGAAGGAGTATTCTTTAGTTTTAAGCTACTGTGTCAGAACCACCTCATTAATTATGTTGTATAGGCTTTCTATTTCGTTATTTGAATATTATTCACTTGAACATAGACATGAATGGAGATTTCCTTTAGTTTCCTTCTATCAACATCTGAGCGTCTTCAGTAATTTCTGCTTTATAAACATTGCTGCCGTGTTTGGTGCATGCGTATTCACAGATAATCTCCATGGTGACCTGCGCCCTTAGCGTTCTGAGAAGCTGTTCCTTGTCTGCTTGAATGCGTCTTGGCTTGAACTTCATTTTACCTGATTTTAGGGTCATGACGCCTGATTTCCTGCTGCTTGCCTTTGCCCCACCTTCTGATGCTTTTCCAAATTATTTTGGGTGCATCTCTTGTTTACAGCAAGTGTTGAGGATCTTGCTTTGTGATTCATTCTGAAGAGCTTTTTCTTTTAACATGTGACTTCAGGTGTGTTTGGTGTTAGTTCTGTCTTAGTGCTTTATAGTTTGCCTGCTGGGTTTTGTTTTTAAAGTAAATCTTCCCACATGGCCTGTTCTTGGTTGGCAGCCTTGGGGCCACGGACCCTCTGTGAGGGACCGGCAGACCTGCCCTGCTCCCCGGGCTCCCGCTCCGCCCGCGGTTTCTGTGCGCGGCTGGGGCACCCACCACGCACGCCCAGCGCTCACCTCTGCTGTCCCGTGGAACGTGTTCAGGACTTACTGCAACTCCTCTGCCATCATCTCGCATCGCCTTTTGGTGAAGTGTGTCTTCTAGGAACACCCTCAGGGGGAGCTCACAGGACAGCATATTCCCTGAGTGTTGAAAACTGCCCTTTCCAGTGCTCTCAACAGGAATGTGGCCTGAGTTCCTTCCTAATTTTAAATATTCTACTAAACGTATTAAAAAGGTAAAGAGAAACAAGTAAAGTTAACTTTAGTAAATTATTTAACTCAATATTATATAAAACATTATTATTTCAACGTGTAACCACCAGTACTTGAAAGTTGCTGATTTACGTGAAGTTCCTTTTTTTGGACTGAGTTTTTGAAATTCAGCGTGTGTCTTACACTTAGAGCGTGTCTCAGCGGACCAGCCACCTTTCACAGGCTCAGTGTTGGACGGCCCGGCCTGTACCTGGATGGCAGGGAGGGCTCTGGCGGCCTCAGGATCCTTGGATCCGCGTTCCCTCCCCGCGTCCCTGGGGAGACTGCCACCCGTGTTGCTGTGCAGAATGCTGCTCTGCTTTCTCTGTGGACCTGCCCTTCTGGCGTTTCCTACAAATCGGATCGTGTACCGAGCAGCCTTCAGCGTCCGCCTTCCCTCTCTCCACGTGCGTTTTCAAGGTCGTCCTCATCTAGAGCTTCCCTCCTTTTTCTGTCCAAGTTGCACTCTGTGTCTGCATGATCTTTTGATCCCCTCGACGTTGGTGGACATTTGGGGTGTCCCAGATAAGCCTCGTGTTCAGGTCTCGAGGGGGCGTGTTTCCGTCTCTCTCGGGTGCTCTGAGGGCAGGATTGCCGCCCAGTCGTGGTTTCCTGCCCTTCCTGCCGCCTCCCTGGCGGCTGCGGGGGCCACCAGCTGCTTCCTGCAGCCAGAGGCCTCAGCCCTTTTGCTCAGACCTACAGCCTCTGCTCAGAGTCAAGGCCGGAGCCCTTCCAGGGGCTGACAAGGTTCTCCCAGCCGGCCCTCCCCAGCCACACTGGCTGCCTGTTCCTGCCCAGCAAGGCCAGCCCGCCTTGTGTCTGCGGGAACTTGTGTCTGCAGCTTGTCCGCCTGGTCCGCCCTCCCGAGCAGCTGCCGGCTCCGGCCCCCAGCGTGGGCTCTGCTCCCCGCCCACCAGGGTCCAAACTTGCCCCGCTTAGTAAGATGGCAGAAGGTCCCCACAGCCCCCACGTCCCTTTCTGGCTCATCACCTAGTGTCCGGGAGGCTCCGCCCCTTCTCCTCCTTGTGTGCAGCCCGCTCCCCTCGCCGGGACGAGTGTCTGTCTCCCATCCGCTGGCTGCTGGGCCCCTCTCCCTGGACGATCGTGTGGCACGTGGCACAGGTGAATGAATGAGCCACGCGTCCCCGAGAGTCAGCAGCAGCAGGGTCTGCTGGAGCCCAGACTGGATTCTGAAGCTCTGTTCTTTACTTCCATCAAAGATTGTAACTAGAAGCCTGAGTTCAATTTATTTTGCTGTCTAATGATGAAGGTTTGATCAGTCAAAGCCCCAGTGTTGCCATCTTCGCTTTCTGACTTTCCACCGGCAGTTTGAGAAGGAAATACAGGAAGAGACAGCCAGGTTGGAAAAGAAAGGGAGCTTCGCCCCGCCCCCGCCCC